CTTCTAAGCTGGACAGTCCCGTCATTTCTAATCCACCCTACAATTAGGACTGACATTATTTTTCTAAAATAAAAGTTTGATCCTGTTACTGTCATATAAATCCATTTAATAAGGTCTCATTGTCTTTAAGATAAATAGCTTAAGATACCCTAGAGCAGCAGTTCTCAACCTGTGGGTCTCGACCTCTTTGGGGGCGAACGACCCTTTCACAGGGGTCACCTAAGACCATGAGAAAACACATATATAATTACATATTGTTTTTGTGATTAATCACTATGCTTTAATCATGTTCAATTTGTAACAATGAAATTGGGGGTCACCACAACATGAGGAACTGTATTAAAGGGTTTCGGCATTAGGAAGATTGAGAACCACTGCCCTAGAGAGACTACCTGTGAGCTGCCCTCACACCACACTTCCCTATACATCTCCTAAGTCAGCTACACCGTCTACTCACTAGGAGAGAACCCATCAAAGCTGGTAGGCAGACCCCCTGATTCTCCCTGGAACACCACACTTGTTAAAATTCTCCCTTTGTGCCATTCACTGCTTTATGCTATCATTCCTTTAGGAGCCGGTCTTGTTTTCCCATGAGGCTTGGGTTTCTTAAGGCAGAGCTTTATACACATGTATATCTGTTGAATGAAGAAGCAAATGAATAGTTAAACAAGCAGAATTGAAGTGGTATCCATCTTTATTTATTTATTTTGTTATTTTCATGCCAATGTCCCTCTGACGTCTACAAGTGTTATTGCTCTCCATCTCCAGTTTTTGCTTGTTTGCTTTTAAAAGCGTCACCTGGAGAGAGGAGGTCCTAGTGAAGAAGGTGATGGCTCTGGCTGTGCTGTGATCCCAGAAATGGTGCTACGTGGTCTGTCGCTTCATCTTTTTTCCGAGTCTGGGTGCTCGCTCACTTGAAGATGCCAGTGAACCCAGGGAGGAGTATGGCATGCGATTGGGCTGGTGCCTGATAATTCACTTCTGAAGTTGGGATTTTGAGTGACACAGTGTCCAGCTGGTGATATTTTCAGCATAGAAACCTGTCAAACTACCAAGACAGCATTAAGGAGATGGAATGAATTGATTTATTTTTCTTTTGAATTGCTTGGCAGTGTCTCAATATTTAGGCATCAAATTTGCTCAATGTGCTACTTAGATTATTTCTTTCTTCCCTCAGCCCGCCTAGAGACTGCAGTAGCTAATGCTATTTTAAACCATGTCCTTCTTCAGAGAGAGCATTAAACACGTTTCAGAGAAGATCAACTTAATCTCCAGCTGCTTTCCCTGGTGACCTGAAGAGGCATGTCCCTGAGTCAGACTTTAGTGTTGTTTTTTTTTTTTCGGCTTTCCCTGGTGACCTGAAGAGGCATGTCCCCGAGTCAGACTTTAGTGTTGTTTTTTTTTCATGTCATCACCTTTGGGTCATTGACATAAACTTTTATATCAAGAGACTGATGCTGATAATAGGAGAGAACAGAGTAGTTTACATGTAGGAAGAGAATGATTTTAAATGCTGGAGGACTTGTTTAAAGTAATTTATATTTTTATGTCTAGCAGTTGCTCACTTGATTCCTGTTGCAATGACAATAGACTTTGAACATTTTCTTCCTTTTAATCATTCATTACTTTGAAGAACCTGGAGACGATGTGAAGTAAAATGAATACTCTACAGCTTTATGACAAAAACACAGGCTCACCCACTGCCAGCAAGCCCCTTTCTAGATCAGGCACCTTTCCCAGGAATAAACTAAGGTCATTCAAAGGTCACCTGTGATGTCACTGTCCCATTGGTGACTGCTAGGCCAGCCCGAGTGGAGTGGGTAACAGCTGTAGCTTTGGTCTGAGGCCTATACGCGTATTTCTGTGTTGCTCTTTACAGCTGTATGTCTGGCCCCTCTCATCCTTAGCTTCCTCGCCTGTGAAATACTTGTCATACTTGCAGTGGGCAGCACATGAGAAGGGTGGAAAGGGTGCCTGGGAGTCAGGGAGGAGCAGTGCAGACCCTCTCTCTTTCCTAAGTGTTAAAAGCGACCACTCACCCGGTGCATTCTTTATTTTATTAAAGCAAGGAAGAAGGTTTCATCCAAGGTTCTGCCCCTTTCTTGACCCCTGCTATCTCCTCACCCACTGTCTGCTGCCAAGCGTCAATAATACTGTTGGTTTTCCTTCTCTGCACACAGATGGTGGAGGCAGGAGCAGAGAGCTTCCCCAGGCACGCTACACCGAGCTAATACATCGCTCAGGCAGAGCCCTGTTCTGTTGAGAAAGCATTTCCAGAACCTGAAGTAGTTGTAAAACCCACACAAAAAAATTCCAGGGTCACTAGCACCCCCAAGTGAGTGGCCAGGAGAACAGTAAAATGATTCAAGTCTCGGGTACACCTCCAAATACAGCGCCACATGAATAGCAGCGTCTCAGACAGGGTCTGGCCAACCTGGAGGTGACAGCTGCCTGGCTTTCCGTCCCTTTCCTGGCTGTGTAAACCCCGGCACCGTTGTTCCTGTGGCTGAGAAGGCTGGGCAATTTGGTGGATGAAAAGTGAGCGTGGGAGTGAGATACATTAACTTCTCTTACACAAGTCTGAGGCCTGTGCCTTTTCCTGAACAAAATCACATTTACACCAGCAGCACGATGGGCATTGAAAGTACAGTCTTTGGAGTTAGACGTCCTGGGTGGATATATTCTGACTATACTACTTAATTGGTTCCCTCATTTGGAAAATTATTTGAGTTTGATTTTCTCACAGTGTAATATGAGGATAATAATAGCAGTTAATTCATAGAATTGTTTTAAGCTAAGTAAAATAATACATGTAAGGTGCTTAGACTAGTGCCTGACAAATAGTGTGTACCCAATAAGTGTTGTATTTGCTCTCCTGGCAGCAAATTACCCATATCCTTGAGCAAGAAGCACTGACTTTCAAATCCACTTATCTATGATTCTATGTCACCTCTGATACAATTGCTTCCAAACTAGCACGCCTGTGATCCTGAAGGCCCCCTCCCTTCAATGTCTTTCATCCCTAGAGACCCTTGAGATTTAAAGTTATGTGTATCTTCTTTTCTGAGCAATCAATATCCATTACAAATAGCTCACGATTGCAGCTTTTCCTGGAGAAAGATGTTAATGGATTCTGTCCAGGCCACAAGACAGTCACTTCCCTACCTAACCTAACGGCTCCTGAGTCCCCTAAAAGCCTGACCTTCCATTAGAAAGTGATCAGGAAGCTTCCAATAAGCTCAGGAATCTATTCAATATTTCTCATTCCCTGATGATCGGTAGGGAGACATCAACTGTCATCAACAGTCCACCACAAAGTCATATAAGTCAAGCAGGCTGTGGCTTTTCCTGGCATTTACTATCCCTTATGTGTCCCTGGGGAAAGAGGGAGCCCTTCAGGTTTCCATGGCAGCAGTGGTTCATTTCCTGGTCTTCAAAAAAAGTAGATAAGCAGATAATATAAAATAAAATAATAATAATAATAAAAAACACTCAACCCCAAAACTTAAAAACAACCCCAAAACTTGACAATGATCCCAAAAAAGATGGGATCACTTTGGGGCTGTTGGCAAATCAACTTTAAGAAGACTGGACTTCAAAACGCGAGTGAGTCGCATTTATCTTTCCAATTTAAAATCTCCATTCAAAGCTTTCAGGTGCCAGCCCAGCTCCCCGCTGTGAGGGAAGGAGTATGGTCCCTGTTTGTGTACTTCAAGTCTCAACCCTGGCGGAGAAGAACGTGGTGTGCAGCAAAATTCCCCCAGACTTACATTTTTAATAACGAGAAACAGGAGTTTAGCAAATTTCTTAGTAAGTTTATTTAAAGTCATGATTCTGAAGGTCTAGGGTTGTCTGACGAAGGGATGAAATCATGGAATTTTCTAGCTCACAGATTTAGTTTACTAGACCGCCATCTAGTGGTCATTGTAGGAACTTCGCTGATAGGCAGCCCTACACATTTGCATGCTAATAAGGGAATGCTTACCTTTCTTTAGAATATCACTACCCAGTTTTAGTGCAACCAATGCACTAAAATTCCACAACCATCTACCAGGACAGTAGCTTCGAGAAAAAAGCAAAGTGGCTATGTGGAACTTGTTGATATTTGATAATAATCAATGCTTTATTGGAAATGCTGGTTTTGTTTTAGATCACCATCACTGTATTCCTGGCAGAACTGACATAAAAATATACTTGCTACCCCTTAACACAATAGCATATAGATGATATATGGTAATAAATACAGGTTTTGATTTATTTTTCTGAGTATTTATTTATTTATTTTTAAGAGTTTACTTGAGCAAAAATGAATTCGAATCAAGCAGTGCCAAACAGGAATTGGTCAGGAGCATAAGGGAGACATTTCCCCTTTTCTTCTGAGTGTTCTTTTAAATGACTTGCCTGAACTTCAACTGCAGAACCCTGCCCACCCTCTGCCCCCTGAAACATACAGCTGGTGTCTCTGCTTGGGTTTTAATTCATATTTTTATATTTCATACTGTTTTTCTATTCGTTGCCCTGGATCTGCATGGCTCAGTAGCCAGTGACTAGAGCAAAGATTTTGTTCAAACTCACCGAGCTGGTAAAGCTTCTGCCCTTGGCTATTGATCTGCATATATGTTGAGGAACACAGTCAAAATTCACTCAGCTTTCACCCTGTCTGTGATGCTAGAGGAGTATATTTCTCCAGTCAGCAAGGCGGGTGTAGAAAGCTGCTCAAACCTGCCATTCTCTCTTTCCCAGGTCTCCCGCCCCCATTCTGTTTTGAGCCGATCTACTCCTCACTGTTGCTGAGACTTTGTTTCCTGTAGGCACTTTTGCTGATAATTACTTGAGTTCCTCCTCCTCACCCAAATCCAGCTCACTGAGTGTCCTTACAATGTGTACATACAAAACTAGATAAGAAGTCCTGGAAGGAGCAGTGTGTGAATGGGCCCTGAAGCTCAAGCTTCATTAGGTTCCAAATAAATCGCCTCTGCCCCAGGCAGAGAGCACATGACTCAGCTGCAGAGGAGAGCTGGACGCCAGGACACCGCATCCAGGGCTGTCAGAGGTTCAGTCTTAGTGTAGACAGAACCAGCATCAGGAAGAGTTCTCAAGCTGTGCATGGGGCAGGGCAGCAAGAAGTTCATGGGTCTAAGGTGGAAGACAGAGGTACTTACACTGCAGGTTGGGCAGGTCTGTCCATTCACAGTAGGAGTTCTGTCAGCAATTGTGGGTTCAAGGGAAAGAATTCAAACCCCTGGAGGTGGCAAGGGCCAGAAATATTAAGATTATGAAATCATAACTGGCCCATAACCAGGGACAGAACAGGGCCTCCAAGGGGACCATTGGTAGGGAGAAGGTTGAAAGTGCTTCCTAAGCTATAGACAGTATTAGAAGGAAAAGGTCCCTATGAAACAGAGCAGGTAGTGGCAACATTTGAAAGGGGTGCAGATAACATCTGTAAGGGATAGGAAACAGTATGGGCAAACTGAGGAGCACTACCTAAAACAGAAAGGTTCTTAGCTACCAGAAGGCCCTGGGGTTATCTGAAGAGAAGGAAGCAGGTTAAAAGTTTAGAGTGATTAGGCAGGACGATTTGGGGAGCATCAGAAGGCTATCCTTTTACAGGGGGAATAAGATGTCATCAAAATGTATACTGTTCAGCAGCATGTGTATTGTTCAGGTGAATATGAGTCTCTGACTGTCCCTTCATTTTGATCACCAGAGGATTATTGTTTGCTAGCATATATGAGGTTTTATATTTTATATGGAATTTCTCTTTTTTCATAAATTTACATAAATATGTAAATTAGCATCTTCTGCTTTAAGTACATATTTATCAATATTCTTTCTTAAAGGGATGGTTTTAATTAGAACAACAAATCCTTAATCAACTGCCTAGGTATAAAGTGCTGAGTCACTGCTGTCTGATCTCCACTCTTTTCTCTCATCAACCAGTCAGCATAGCAACAAAATCTCACCAAGCACAACCAGCCGTCTTCCTTGATTTGCAGCATTTATTTAATGGAATCATAAAATTTGCAGTTAGCACTTGAAAGCTTTATTTTAAGGAATGAAAAAGAATTGGATGCAGCCTTAATAGCTAACGAAAAGACAGTAGAGAGCACAGGAGAGCACACTGAGAAGCATTGGTATCAGAAATAGCTGAAATCATTCCCAGGACAACAATCAACTGACAGGGAGGAGTGGAGACAGCACAGAAATCACACGCTACGTGATCAAATCCATCTATTACAAGGATCTCACAAGCCCTTCATGGAAATCGCATTTCTTCTCTGCTGGAGTAAATTTTCTGAAATTCTTGTAACCCTCTGACTTCTCTGTCAGGTTCTAAGGAATTTTAAAGATTTGAGAACTTAAAAATTAAATTCTAGGAATTTAGAATTAATCAGAACATTTCAAGTCCTCCAATGCTGCCAACACAATTTTAGGAATAATTCTGCAATTAGGGTGACTGTTCTGTCTCCTTCACTAAAAGGAAATGAGTAAAACAGCCATCTACCTTTTAATTAGCACTGGATTTCTGGGCTTTCTGTGGGAGCGGATTTCACTTAACCCACAATGAGTGGTAATCATGTCATGTTCAAATGAAGGTGAGTATGGGCCCATACTTTCACACTCCCAAGGAATTAACCTTGTATAAACACTTTTGTTTGGTTTTTTGCTTCTTAGACTCAGGGTTGTAATTTATTATCTTCAAGGTTTTGATTCCTTTTAAAGTAACTATCCTAACATTTTATAGGGAAATCCCAGAGCAAGGAGACTGTTTATATTGGTAGTAAGCTAAAGAGGATTTGAAAAACTATAGTAAGTTTTGCAGCATATATCTACACTACATGTTATGAATTCTGCAGGCAAATATTACAGAAATAAGTTGTTTCTCTTCAATGTTTTCTGTCTGGATAAAAAAACATTTGAAAAACTACCAACATTTGTGTAGCGAAGATTGAGGGAAGGTTGTGGAGATCGTGCATCCAGCAGCCTCAACCTAGACTTGCGCAGCCATTTTGGATATCCAATTTCAAGCTCTAAATAGAAACATATGGTTAAAAATAAGTTGTTTTGGTAAAATCTATAAGCATGTACTATTTCAGTTACTTCCTCATATCTACTAATTGCAATAATCTTTCTGGATATTGCTGTACTGCATTTATCGACATTTCCCAGCTCTCCTTAGCCAGGGCTAATTAAGCAGTTATTGTAAAATGAATGAGCCTATCACAAAAGAAAGAAAACCATTTAGATTTTCATTAGAGGGAGCCAGTTTGCTTGCACTAGGAGTGCCTCTCTTCACACTCCAGCATGAGACAGGTTCGTCATTGTGAAGAGGCAGGGCAATTAGAAACATCCATTCTTTCCCATCCCAACAATAAAGGTGTATTGGGCAGGATTTCTTGTAAGAATGCTTTGTGGGGGGTAGCTTCATATTAAACCAGTACACTGTAGACCAGTGATGGAGAACCTATGACACGCGTGTCAGAGGTGAAACGCAAACTCATTTTTTTGGTTGATTTTTCGTTGTTAAATGGCATTTAAATATATAAAATAAATATAAAAAATATAAGTCTTTGTTTTACTATGGTTGCAAATATCAAAAAATTTCTATATGTGACACAGCACCAGAATTAAGTTAGGGTTTTTCAAAATGCTGACATGCCAAGCTCAAAAGGTTTGCCATCATGCTGTAGACACTCAACAAAAGTCAATGAATGGACGAAAGAAGGAAAGAAAACAAAAACTCTGAAATGTAGCCATATAGTCTTAATTTTGTCTCCCTTTGATAATTTTGTCTCCTTCCACAATTTTGGTAAATTTTCTAACACAGAGATAAATTTTCTAACATACACAAAAGTGAAGTTCTGCCTCAGATATAGTCAGTTACCGATTTGGTAAGTGAAAACTTTGATAAACCAATCATGAAAACAAACAAACAAATAAACAAAAACAAACCTTTACCACTAGAAATGATATCTTTTCTGTGATTGCCAGTACTGTTATGTCCTTTAAAATACTTTGTGAGAGCTCATGAGTTTGTATACACTGGCCAAGAAAAGTTTGAGAAGAAAGTTTTGTTTTTGTCATTACATTTTGAAACTCTGACACTTGAATTCTAGCATGCTCTTTTGGTCAGGCTGAAACTCTTGAATGAAAGCAAGCCCTGCTAGATTATCCTAGAAATGTCAGCATATCAGAGGAAACAATGTCAGCCGTCCTATTCTTCTATTCTTTTGGTAGGAGCAGAGGATGTTCCTAGTCAGTCAGTGAGTATGTAAAGAACACAACAGGACGCTAGCCTTTGAAAAACGTAATCAGGGGGGTAGGGGAGGTACCATCTGTCTTGGGAGCCTACCATTTTGGCATGTGGATTGGAATCTTCAAGTCCTCTTAACTCTCTACTTGCAGGTTTCTATAATAAATAAATGTTGTGTCAGGAACTGCATCAGATATCATACATAGACACACATGCACATGTGCACATACACACGCAGATGACATCTTCCTGATTCATGAAAAATCTAAGATAGTTTGTAAATTCCTATGGGATAGGATGGGGAAGATGATTCTTGTTAAGTGAAGAAAGTATTTTTCCTTGTAAACCTTGTGAATTGCTCCAACAATATATTTGGTAAGAGAATTCCAAATATTTCTCAAGATCTTTCATTCAAAAAGTATATCTATTGAAATTCCAGTAAAACCAGTTTATGAAAAGGACTGTACAGATTTTATGTGCAGCATCTTCTTAGATCATCTTGTGTGATAGACAGATTCTGTGGAAGTATAGACAGAAACTATCTTTTTTTTTCATGTGTGTGTGTTTTTTTATTGGTTTCAGAGAGAGAAACGGAGAGGGAGAGAGAGAAACATCAATGATGAGAGATATTCATCCATAATCTGCCACCTGAATGCCCCATCCTGGGGAACTAGCTGGAAATCTGACCGGGAATAGAACTGTGACCTCATGGTTCATGGGTTGATGCTCAAGCACTGCACCACACCAGCCAGGCTGAACACTATCTTAATCACATCCTTTTAGCTAGGAATAAAGAAAACATAATGATAATGGCTAATTTACAAGAAACATACAATTGAGAGTCTTGGTGTTTTCAGCACCTCATTCTCAGTAAGAAGCATCCTGCTCTGTGACCTTGAGGATATTGAGGACATAGAGGTAGAAACAGACACCAACATTTTGGGTGATCTTAGAAAGCCTGGAATATTCTTTTTTTGACTTACTCTCTAAAGCATGAGTGTGCTAATTTGGCTAAATTGTTTCTCGTCAATACTGGGTCTTGCCATTCTCTCCCTCCCCATATGTAGATTGAAGGCTTGGTGGTATGAAATTATGTTAAACTGTTCTGCATCTTCTACCTCATTTAGATTTAGGGCTACTTCCACTTCAAACACATATTAATTAACTTTTTTAAGTTAATCAATTATTGCAAATGAAATTTTCTCACGTGTAGAGGATGAATATCAGGTAAGATTGGCTCAGTCCTGGTTTGCAGCTCATCACCAAAGTATCCTTTATTCTCCACTCCCAGTCTATCTTGAGGTGGGCTGTGAAAAGGAAGTGGAATAGTGATACACGATAGGGGATACAAGATAGTGATACAAGATAGGGGATACAAGATAGTGGTTAACATTAAACCAAGAAGGAGATTTTTAAAAGATGGATACTCCGCTTATACCTTATAACAATTAAATAAGAGGGAGAAACCAAAATTAGAATTAAAAACAAAACAAAACAACAACCCTGTAATTTCAATGTGCCATCAAGTTTGGGAACTATTGGGATAAACATTGGGATTAGAACTTGATATTTGGCTACTCTTACTTGGTCTTTAATAAGAGGCTATATTTTGCCTCCATCAAGTACCGTCTATGGACACAAAGCCAATATATTCTCAGTAATGGTCTTCTTCAACACATAGGGAAGACAGACATACCTCTGAACTTGCTTCAATTTAATACAGTTTAGGTAGCGAATTAAAAATGCGATTCCCCCAATACCGATGATACCCAGGACAAGGACTACAACCAGGATGGAGATATCTGGAATGGTAAATAATGAACAACATAAACTGATGAACAAAAACAGATCCAAAGACAGAGAAGCATCGATCAGACCATCAAACCAATAAACAAACAACCATGAGCTTCAACCCGGATTTAAACTTTAGGACAATAGAATATTAACATTTAACTGAGCTGTTACAAGCCAGTTCTCTATTCCTTAAAATGTTTTGATTCCCCTTCCCCACAATTTTTAAATTTTAAAGGAAAAGGCCATAATATTATACAAATTACCATCTATGTTAGCAATGAACACTCCTTATGTTTAAGGGAACCACAATCAGCAGAAAAGTTTTGATTTTCAGTTATTAACAGATTATAGAAAAAGCCTTTTTGGGTTATGGGTTCTTAGAAGACCTAATGCAAATTTAGAAGAAGATACATTAATTCTAAAAAGCAATGGGAGTAAATTCAAATGTGAGTATTTAAACATGTGAAAAAAAGACCATACAAATACATGCAGAACCACAACATATATGTAGTAGACTCAGAAATTAAGAAAAAAGCTTTTTCATTGGCTAGGCTTTTGATATATGCAGGATGGTATATTCTAGGATGCTCACTGGTAACATTTAAGGATTCTTCCCATTCCACAATTATCTCTTCTTCCTCACATTGGCACTGGAGCTCACTGCCATCCACCTGGAAGAACAGTCAATCACAATTTTATCAAATTACTGGCATAAGCTGTGTTTTGCACTTCACTTAGTTTAATGCTAGCTAGTTCTCCATCACACACACACACACACACACACACACACACACACACACACTTTTATTGATTAATTAAACTGTATACTAAAATCAATTTTTAAAAGAAATAAGCAAACAAAGTACAAGAATCAAGCACTCTTGAAGATGTCTGAGCAAGAGAATGATTCCAAAAGCTTAAAACCAGATAAACAAGATGGCTTGAGTTATCTTTCCAGAAGGCATCAATTGTATTAAAGGAACAGCCCTTGCTAAAGTTGAATATATCACAGCCAAAGAACAGACTCTAACTAGGCTTAATAATAACGAGGTTATATTAATGTGGGATAAAAGTGAGGGAACTATGTTTAGTTCATCGTGTAATAGTTAAGAACATACACTCTGTGTTTAAATATCAACTTTTCCTTTCACAAAAAACAAGTTTAACTTGTCCTCCATTTGTAAAAGTAGGCTTAGGAATAGGACTCACCTTTTCAGTTGTTATGAAGTTTTAAAATTTTACACATATATGTGTATATATATATATATATATATTACTTTAAAGAGTGCCTGATATATATACAACTTTCTATATAAATGTTACTGATTAATTGGGCTTAGGAAAGATGTTACCCACAAACATGACTGCTAGGCATTGCTATTATTGAATAGTATTGAGTAAAATATATATATATAATGATTTGTTGTTTTTTTCAAAAGCTTTAGGCAAATGTTGGCATGATGTAATTTAAATATAAGTGATATTATGATGGATCCAACATTAAACTTTAGGTGTCCATCTCTTTCTATGAATTCTGCCTGGTACTGAGTTTTCATTTTTTGCATTCCTCAGCTCAAAGACATCTTATGTGCTTAAGTACTGGGATTCTAGATTACTAGTCTAATAATAAAACATATACTTGCAATATTGGCAATATGTATATGTAATATCTGGTTTGGTTCTTTGGATCAATTTTATTTATTATATGTGAAAAACAGTTCCCAAATGTACACTTGATTTCAAAATCACTATACAAACATGTGCATGAGTATACACACTCACACACACACACACAGGTCCAGAAATAAGTCCTATGTCAATAAATGTCTGGTAAGACATTACTTTAAAAAGAGTCAAATCTTACAGCATTTTCATTGCACTGAAAGGAGCAATTAGTTGAATTGTAGAACTTCTCAAAATTCACACATTCACCATTGATGCACACCTAGAAATAAAACCAAGATATATTGGAATTACTTATTCTAGAATTTACATATTTTTTTCTATATAAATAATCACAGGTAGAATATTCTGTGTAATAAGAAATTTTCTGTAAAGGTTTGATGGGCATCTATATATATATATATAAAAGGCTAATATGCAAAGTGTCCCTTTGGGAGTTCGACTGGGAGGCCAAGAGTTCGATTGTTCGCTATGACGTGCAACACCACGAGGGCGCGGTGCGGAATATGGCAGGCGACCAGGAGTCAGGGAATCTGATCAGCTCTGATCGCTGGCCAGACCTAGGGACCATACCCATGCATGAATTTCATGTACTGGGCCTCTAGTTTGAAAATAATGTACTGTGCATTCAAATATTGTTGTACACAAACTTTTTAATTATTAAAATGTCTGTGTCATTAATTCTTCAAACATTAATCTGCATGTGTTTTTGGGGTCATATCCAGAAAGTCATTGCCAAAACCATGTCAGTTAACTTTCCTCTATGTTTTCCTCTAGGTGTTTTGGTGTTTCATCCCTGACATTTATGTGTTTAATTCATTTTGAGTTAATCTTTGCTCATAGCCTAACATAAATGTCCAATTTCATCCTTTTGCATGTGAATATCCGTTATTCATGACACGATTTATTAAAGAGACTGCACTTTCTCCATTGTATGTACTTGGTGCCTTTGTCAAAGGTTAGTTGGCTGTATATGCATAGATTTGTTTCTCAGCTCTATTTTGTTCCATTGGTCTAGATGTCCATTTTTATGCCACCACCATGTTGTGTAAATTACTACATAATTTGGAATAAGATGCTTCTAGTTTTGTTCTTTACTCAAAATTGCTTTGCTTATTTGGAATCTTTGTGGTTCATACAAATTTTAGAATTGTTTTTCCTATTTCTGTAGAGAATACTATTGGGGTTTTGGTAGGAATTGCATGGAACCTGCAGATCATTTTGGGTAGTATGATATTATAACAGCATTAATTCTTCCAATTTATGGACATAGAATATCTTTCAATTTATTTGTGACTTCAATTTTTTTCATCAAAGTCACATTTTTCAGTGTATAGATTTCACCTCCTTGGTTAAAAATATTTTAAAGTATTTTATTGTTTTTAATGATATTGTAAGTGGGAGAGTTTTCTTAATTTCTTTTTCAGACAGTTTATTTTCATTTTTGTTGACTTCATTGTGTGAAGGTAAGTATAAATGTCCTCTCTTTCTATGAACTGTTCCTGGTACTGAGTTTTTATTTTATGCATTCCTCAGCTCAAGGACATTTATTGTTATTATTTCTTTAATTATATTTTACCTCTATTCTGTTATATTTATCTAAGAATGTCTAGATATCTCTATTAGATCTGGATTATATTTCTTAGAACTATATTTCTTGTTTTCATTTATTTTTTATTTTTTTGTTAATCCTCAATGGAGGATTTCTTTTTTTCAAAGAGAGTGGAAGAGAGGGGGAGAGACAGAGAGAGAGAGAAACATGGATGTGAGAGACACATCGATTGGTTGCCACTTGCATGCGCCTGGACTAGGGCCGGGAATTGAGCCTACAACCCAGGTACATGCCCTTGACCAAAATCGAACCTGCAACCTTTTGGTCCATGGGCCAATGTTCTAACCACTGAAGCAAACCAACTAGAGCTATTTTTAAAAATGTCTTTATCTAACTTTTCTGTGTTAAGAAGTTAAGCTTCTAATTTACTGTTTTTACGTGGTACATATTTGATGGTTTGCTGTTCAAATTACAAATAAACTAGCGACCATGATTTGTTCTGTACTTTGAAGACTGTGCTTATTAATTGCAAATTATAACATTTTAGGATTTAATATTCTTTTAAATTGTATTAAGTATAAATTTAACTTTTTTCAAAGGATTATCCTCTTTTTTTAATCTAATTTAATAAAAGAGAAACATACAAATTGACCATACCTCTGCTACACCCACAAGCCACGCCCACAAGCCACGCCCACAAGCCAATCAGGAGTGAATATGCAAATTAACCCAACTAAGCTGGTGGTGTCCACGGAGCTGGAGCAAGCAGGATGCTTGGGCTGTCCCCAGCAATGGAGGAAGCCAAGCTTTCTGCCTGCCCTGTTAGCCCTGAGCTCTGCTCAAGGCTACAAAGTTTCAATTATAGAAGATAAATAAATCGCAGATACCTGCTTCCAGCCTGCAGCTGTGGCCAGCCTGAAAATGGCCATCAGCCTGTCACCCAGGCTGGCCAGGCACCCCAGTGGGCCCCCCCACCCTGAAGGGGCTGTGGCCAGCCTGAAAACAGCCCTCAGGCCCTCACCCAGGCTGGCCATACCTCCATGGGTGAGGATCCCCGCTGTGGGGCTTAGACAACCCACAAACAGCTATCAGCCCCTCACCCAGGCTGGCCAGGCACCTCAGTGGGGACCCCCACTCTGAAGGGGGTGTGGCCAGCCTGAAAATGGTCCTCAGCCCCTCACCTGGGCTGGCCAGGCACCCCAGTGGGACCCCCACCCTGAAGGGGATTTGGCCAGCCTGCAAACAGTCATCAGCCCTTCACCCAGGCTGGCCACACCCCCATGGGGTGAGCGTCCCCGCTGGGGGGCTTAGCCAGCCTGAAAACGGCCCTCAGCCCTTCACCCAGACTGGCCAGGCACCCCAGCAGGACCCATGATGGCGGGAGCCTCTCCCACCTCTTCAGCAGTGCTAAGGATGTCCGACTGCAGCTTAGGCCTGCTCCCCGCTGGCAAATGGACATCCCCCAAGGGCTCCTGGGCTGCCAAAGGGATGTCTAACTGCCAGCGTAGGCCCAATCCCCTGGGTAGTGGGCCTAAGCCAGCAGGTGGACATCCCCCGGAGGGTCCCAGACTGCAAGGGGCACAGGCCGGGCTGAGGGACCCACCCGAGTGCACAAATTTTTGTGCACCAGGCCTCTAGTATATATATGTTTCTTAGGGGACTGTAATCTCTGATTCTTGAGACTGGTCTCCACTATTCAATTATTTTATGCCTGGTGTTGTTTGTCCTCTTTGCTTATTCTTATGGAACAGATTTTTAATATACAGTCATATGTCACTTAATGATAGAGATATGTACTGACAAATGTGTCATTAGGTGATTGTGTCATTGTGCAAATACCATAGAGTGCATTTATACAAACCTAGATGGTATAGCCTACTATACAGCTAGGCTGCATGATATAGCTTGTTGCTCTTAGGCTACAAGCCTGTATGTACAGCATACTGTAGACAATTATGACACAATGCTAACTATTTGTGTATCTAAACACAGAAAAGGTAGAAAAGTATTATATAAAAGATAAAATATGATAAACCTGAAGAGGGCACTTACCATGAATGCAGCTTGCAGGACTGGAAGGTGTTCTGGCCAGTGAGTGAGTGGTGAGTGAAGCTGAAGGCCTAGGACATTACCGTACACTACTGTAGACCTTAGAAACAGTCTCACTATCCCTTCTGCCTCCTTCCAACAGTGTTGGAAAGAGAACATTGAAATGGTCAGTGCTGCTCCATGAACAGAGAAGTGGGCTGGATTGGTGGGAAAGATTGAGGGGAAACTGACTGGGAAAAGCATAGATCACCATAATAGTGACTGGCAGGAGGGAGTGGAAGGTGATCTGAGGATATGCATAAGTAGGAATAAGAAACTGAGATGAAGAGACAAAGGAACATAAAGGATAGGCATGGCAATACAGCTTTGTCTGTTGGATGTTGGAGCAGTGGTCAGATATTTGAACTTTGTAATATTCGTAAGAAAAGAGGGTGTTTAACATAGAGAGGGTGTAGAACTGAGGACCCAATATTTTGACTTTGGAAATTTTTGTTGTTGTTGTTCTATTGACCCTACCTGTCACAAAGGTCTCTGTTTGTCATTAAATTAATGCATACAGTAAAACTTATCTATACTTTCCGTCATTACAACCTGAAAATATTTCCACAGTACAGGGACAGGCTATCACGGAAAGTTTTTACTAAAGTGGCAATGGCACTTAATAGTTGTTAAAAGGGGAAAAGATTGAGAAGTGCAGATTGGCAGTTACAGTACTCTGTCATGAGGCTGTAAAGTACAGGACAGGGAATATCTACATATATAAAAGCCTAAGCGACCGTTATGACCAAACAACTGGAATGACCAGAACGACTGAATGACCGGCTGGTAGCAATGATGCACACTGACCCAGACCTTGCTGCTGGGGTCCTGACAGCCCCGAATCCGGTTCACCCACACCCCGGACCCAGACAGGAGGAAGAAGGGAGCCCAATTCTTTGCAGAATCAGCTGTTGGTTAGCTTGTTGCTGGTGTCTTGACAGCCCTGAATCTGGTTCACCTGCACCCCAGACCCAGACAAGGCGAGACGGCCCCAATCAGCCCTGATTTCTGGCCATGCTTAGGGACCCCACCTGTGCATGAATTCATGCACCAGGCCTCTAGTAGGAAATAATATTGTAATAACTATGTATAGTGCCAGTTGAATACTGGCAATGTCGGGGGCACACTTTGCAAAGTATATATGATTATCTAACCACCATTCTGTACACCGGAAACTAATAGAAAATAAAATAAAAAATTTAAAAATGGAAAAAAATCACATTTAAAGAAAAAAATAGTTATTACTATAAGTTACTGCCTGTGGACCTGTATCCTTGTACAGGATCTTATGTCCTCCACAGAGAATTTAGAGCAGTGTGCTCTGAAGACAATCAAGCTACTGGAGGTCTGTAGTGCCCTCTAAGTGTACAGTGCTGGGGGAACAGGCTCTTCTGTGCCAAAGGAAGTCAGTGGTGACAGGCTGGGATGTGATCTCTGTCCTCAAAATTGAGGTGCTGTCAGTGAGAGGCAATCTATTGCCACACCCTGCAGATATTTCTCCCATCAGAGAAAAAATATCTTCTGAATATCTGTCCTTCCATTTCTTACAGAAAATTCAGTTCCATTATAATCTCATGGGCCCACCATTGTATATACAGTCCATTGTTGACCAAAACGCTGTTGCACAATACATGACTATACATGATTGAACACTGGGGAACATTGCCTTACAACTCATGGAGTTAAGTCTCAACTAGAGAGAAAGAGTGAGATACTTATTTTAATTTGTCCACTTTTGCATGTTTAATAAAGAACTACAGAGAGTTTTACAGCAATTCCTTTGTGTCAGAGTACAGACTAATCCCCTTTTCTTCCCTCTCCTCTCTTCTTCCCTCTCCACTTTGTCCTTCTCCTCTCCTCTCCTCTCCTCCCCTCTCCTCCGACATTCCAACCAATTGAACCACACTGGCCAGGGCTTGTCTACTCCCCTTATTATTCATACAAGCTTCCCACATACAGTCTCTTAATTATCTACTACAGGCCTGGTGCATGAAATTCTTCCCTGGTGGGGGGTGGGAAGGGTGGGGGTGGGGCTCAGCTTGGCCTGTGCCCTCAGGGGATGTCCGACTGCTGGTTTGTGGAAGGTGACCAGTGGTGGCACTCGCCAGCCAGCCTTGCCCCCTGATCGCTGCCGCTGGTCACCTCCCTCTCAGGGGGCAGACACTCAAAGCAGGAGCTCCTGCATTGAGCTTATGACCCCTGGTGGTCAGTGTGCATCATAGTGACCAGTTGTTCCACCAGTCATTTCGCTGTTTGCTCAATTTGCATATTAGGGTTTTATTATGTTATCTGTGTCCTAAGTTCTGTAGTATAACTAAGGAAAAAGGGCACCCAGGTGCCTTGGGATGCTTTTGCTCTCTTATCCTACATCAAATTAAAAGGCCTGGAAGGGGTGGGTGTGGGGTGGAGCACAGTCACTGGTACCAGAGTATGTGCCCAGTAAATATGGCCCAATGAATAAAATAAATGAAAACTGTATGGCTGTTTCATAGCCAAATTAACTTAAACATTATGTCTATAATTTTATTCCATGTCTTCTCTAAGATACTAATTAAGCACATTTATAATATGTACATATCATTTCATATACTAAAGCTGAAATAAAATGAATATTTGTGAAAATGTCATTGCTACTCTGCTCAATACAAAAATTACCAATCTTTTTTTCTGCTTTCTCTTATATAGGCCCTCTGGACCCAATCCTAGGATCCAAAGATGTTTTACAGTGGCTGAGCCAAGAAGGTTTAATCAAACAAAGAGTTTTCATCTTACCATTCCATCTCCGCATTTTGTTCCAGGAGCAACCAGGCCCAAGTCTCTCGGATTGTGGTATAAATAAAAGGTTTTGCAGTCAGTGGTGACATTCTTCTTTGGGACCTTCATATGATAAATCTTTTCTTCTCCAAGGAAAGATGAGTGCTGCCCTCCGGTGCAGTATATCTTTCCACATTTGATGTCTCTGGAGAAAAGGGACAGTATTCTCAGTCTTGGGACCAGAACAGAACTTCGGAGACTAGGTTTGCCCTGAAGTGGCCTGGCCACTGTTTTCTAGGCCCGGGCTTGCCAGCAGCCTGCGGAAGGGCCAGAAGCAGGGTAGACTGTGGTGCAGTCCAGTCCTGACCCAGGGAACTGAGATGAATAGGCAAAGCTATAAATTGCTCATATTTCTCTCTGATATCTTTGTGGTTCTCACAAATCTATATTAGCTTAAGCTTACAGAAGAATATTTTTATTAGTAATTTGAGTTAGCGTAACTTGAATCAGGATGCTAAGATTTCTTTCTTATTCTCCCTTGCATAGAGCGCTTTAGTTGATTCTTATAATAAACCCATGAGGTGTGATTATTATAATTCTGTTTTGAGGATTAGGAAGTAATTGGAAGTAAGGAAAGTTCAATGACTGCCCATTTTCACCTACTGTTGTTTTCAGGCCAAATCCTGTAAAGCCCTGCCAAGTATTAGCAACAAATATGGACTCAGCTCATGTTTTTAAAAATCAGATCTAACTTCCAATTCTTCCATTTCTCTTCCAACTTCAACTTCTACCTTTCTTCATATGGCTTC